TGACGTCACAGGTCAGGTCAAAGTAAAAATTATTAGCATTTTGCTTGTTCACGTTTTGGGCTCTGGCCGCCGTCTTACAAGTCAGATCAGGCTCATTTTTGGATCACACACTCGTGAACAGATGCTCTAGATACCCCGAGGGTACCAAATTTGTACTCAGATTTTCAGGTCAAGGTCAGGTCATCACAGGTCACGAAAATATTATATCATGCGTCGGTCACGTGACACATGTTTTATGGTCCATTTAGGCCAGAGATTTCGAATTTGATGTCGTCTGTGTCATTTGAGGTCATTTTGAGTCGAATTTTACTCAGGTCAGGTCACTTTCAGGTCAAAAAAGGTCAAATTTAAAGTTAAAATTTTTCAACAAAAAAGGTGTCTATTGGATGCAGTTTGAGCTGAGGAACACGATGGTGCTATGTATATTGGCGTACGATGTCAAATGCGTGCTGAAAAATTGATTTGAATAATTAATAATTGTGAATTTTTTGCAATAATGCGTAAAACTTGGCCATTTTTGAAGTTATTAAGCTAAAACTTGCTAGAGTTAGTCATAATAATGCGTTCTATCACATATATTCCGTTTTTTTTCGAAAAGTCAAAAACTTTTTGAAAAAAATGTAAAAATATAAATTTTGGATTCTATGATATCAAATTTTCGAAATTTTCAAAATTTCGAAAATCCGAGATAGCAGTTTGATAGCGCAGTCTATTGTAAGTTCTCTCATGCAAAGAAATTGGACCTAGCTTAAAAACTGAGCTCTTGGGAGCGATTGCCGTGGTTCAATGTTTTGCGTCGAAATCGGCCGAACATGACGTCACTCTGACGTCATTGCAGGCCGACCTATGGTAGCTACGAAGTTAACCCGCGCACCGACGGGGAGGGCGGATATCCGCCCCCCCCCCCCCTGAGGTTTTTCGCGGATAGCGGGAAAACCGCGGCGCGTAGCGCCGCGAAATTTGGTATGACCATTCTCTTATCAATTTTACACATGGTGTGCAAGTTTGAACCTCCTAACTTTTAAGGTCAGAGCGCTATTGCATAAACATAAGATTTACGCCACCGGAGTAGATCTTAACTTTTTTACGAAACGGCCATACTCTACGAAACACCGTAAAACCTGTTGCATAAAGGCCGTGACCTACTTCGTAAATATTTGGAAAATCTAGGTATGACGTCATACATGAATGAAAATAGTGCCGGATGTCAGCACGAAATGCAGAAGAATGGTGACAATAATGAAAGCGATTAAAGTTCCAGTGTACTGAAATGTGTGAATCACGTTGTCTGGATAAGTGGTTCAAATCACCTTGAATTGATAGCGACTTTAGAAAACCTTTCGTACTTTTCAATATTCATGCGCCCTCCCACATCAAGCGGCGGTCGGCTTGGTAAACAACATCGATCGTGGCATCTTGGGAGTGTGGGATATTCTAAGATCATAGATAATTTGCCCTCACTATGGGTTTCAGTCGATATTCTACATAAATTTGCATAGAACTGAGTGCACTGCATCCGTCTTGAACAGTGCCGTAGCTGCTACTGCCACCTTTCGCCAATTAAGTAAGCTCAGGGCTGTCTCATCCCTATCTCCGTAACGTGTCGTGTGCGACCAATGACGTCACGGCATTGCGGCGTTCTGATTGGGCGGCAGCTCCGAATCGCCCGACTGGTGGTCCCCGCTCGACAAGCGCACGTGCGCCGACTAGAGGCATTTGTAGTGGCATTGACGGCAGAAAAAAGTGAGTTAATGCAGAGCTCTGAATATACTTGAATAGTGTCTAAGCCGTTAGTAATACGTAAAAACGTCAGATAGGTTTCTTGTTTGTCTTGATTTGAGCTTTAATATGATATGATTTTTACCTTAGTGTCGAGTCTGGCAGCTATGTGGGAGAGCCCTAAAGTTGGGTCATTTTCCATAGAATTGCATTACAGCCGTCCGACGCTTCGTACCTGTGACGTCACGGAAATCGCTGCTTTGGCCTAATGAGCATACCTTCTATATAGGGCCTTGAAGTAAGCTGAGATTTGTACACTCGCCGTCCGGTGGTTGCTAGGTAGGACACGAAAGTAAACAACATTCCAAAGAAGAATTTCAAGACAACAGCTTGGCTTGCAAGATCGAACAAGATCATCATTTGGTGGCTGAAAATGAAGAATTAAGATAACCAGGGCCCAGACTAACAAGTAAGTTTTCTATTATAGCGAATGGTTAGTGAACAATTCAAATTGTCGGTTCATTGGCAGCACACTACTCACTGCTCAGCCCTTTTGCCTTCAGACCATTCGTGAGCTTTTTCAATAGTTAATGGTTAAAGCTAATGCCGCTACAATTCCTGATCTATATTTTCTTTTGGTGTATTTTGAATTTGGCATCGTGTTTATTAGCCTCAGCCCTCAATTACTCGCAACATTCCAATGTTCTGTCGCTTTTTTCTTCACCATTATCTACAATTACACTGAAAAAAAAATCGGGGAACCCCATTTCTTACAATCTGACGCCACATACTCCAAAATACTCCTAAATTAGGCTCCGTTTTCATGATTTTAGGATGTCATGGGTGTTGTGACACCCGACACGGGAGCCCCATTACCTTTTGACGCCGCAAAAATGTACATGACCCCCTTGGGAGAGGTTCGGCTAGCGAACTCCCCAAAAATTGCAGGCCAAAAAATTGGAGTGTCGCTGAGACACCCCCGTTGAAACCCCTCTGGGGTGTCATTATCCTGGAGTGACACCCCGTGTTTTCTGCTTCAAATCCTACCGATAGATGGCGCAAACTAAAGTTGGTAAAATCGGGACCTGTTTTTCACGAATGGCTGGTGCATGTTTGGAGCTAAGGCAAAAGCGTGCATAGCGTAGAGTGGCCAACTATATCATGATGATATCTAGACTGATTACCGTGTCATACGTTGGTCGTGCACACTACAGGGCGCCGCAAGGCCGCGAACGGAAAGAGTAACTCCTCACCCGCTTATAAATATAGTCTGAGATTCTCGTGCCGAAGGAGATCCCGTAGCCGGGTGCAGTGAGTGCCTTGGGGCTGGGTGGTCTGTCCTCTGGACGGGCTCGGCCCCGGCGACTCACTGGGGTGCCTGCCCAGACCATTGTCTCCCCCTAATTCCTATCATCCTTCCGGCTCTGCAATGGTCTTGTCGACCGAAAGGGCCTAACCCAACAAAACAAAACAAATAAGTTCCGAAGGACATTTAATCCTCGCCGGGAGTTTTTCGGAAGTATAGGGGAGTGAAATTTCCCTGAGAGATTCCCTGCTGAAGGCGCGCGGTTCCCCGCGTGGGGGTCAGGAACAATATGGGGAGTTATATCAGAAAAATAGGGGAGTTGAGCTGCTATATTTTACACCCTAATTTGGGAGTTTGACACCCTGTCGGGTGCTTAGGGACCAAAAAGGGGTGCTCGGCTGATATTTGAGGGGTGTCACCTGCAGTCTAACGGAACCCCATGTGGGCCGGCGCTGACCCCCCTTTAGCGGCTGCGACTCCCCACTATGCGTCGAAACCCTCCTGGGGTGTACGCCAAACACCCCATTTATAATAGCTCAGCGACTCCCCTCAAAACACCCCACTCGGGTGTTATTTTTGACATGACCGTCAATACCCCGTACAGGGTGTCATTTTTTCTTTCAGTGTAGGTATGTTGAAATGCCATATCATATTGATATGGTGTCAGGTGTCTTATCATTAAAATCATTTAAATATCCACAAAATTACGTTTAATATTATATATTTGCAAGCAACATGCTTTCGCGCGTTGAATTAGTAGGCACAAAACAGAATGCATTTAAGCTAGGTATTACAAGATGAATACCTACGTATTCGTCTCTGGGCTTGCGTGATATTTTTCAGTTTCAAACGTAAGCATTAAGGGCATATCAGCATAGCATCTAGATACCTACTGGACTATTCTGAAGCTGCCAGTGAATTGCTTATTACTTTCAATTCACAGGCTTTAATTAAATGACATTGCTAATTAAATTTAATTAAATGGCACTGGCTAAAATTGGCTAATTAAATTTAATTAAATGCACTGGCTAAAATTGGCTTTAAAAAGTCAACTTTACCAGTATAGCAGGGCACAGTCACAGACCTTTATGCTTGCATTCAAAGAAGGCTGAGAGCGAGGAGATACATGGTGTCCTAAAAAGTTCATTATTCGCTCGATTTACTTTTTCCGCCCCTGTCTATATGTATCGCCTCTTTCCTGATTCCCTCAGTCCTCTCTCCTATTTCATGCTCTGTCAGCCACTTTGCCTTCGAAAATGATCTCCTCTCAATCCATTCGTTCTAGTCTTTCTGATACTTACCGACATCTTTATTTCTGTTTCAGGAATTTCTATTCGACTTCGTGGAGGAGTCTTCTGACCACGGCATTCGGCTGTTCTACATGAAGGTTGAAGAATCCCGCTGGGTTCAGCCGACAGAGGGCTCTGATAAATCGCCGATAGATGGCGGCTGCTACGCCAAGAGTCACTACCTTCGTTGAAATCGTCCTATCTAGAGGTGGCAAAAGATGAAAATTTTGGGAACCAGACTCGAACCAGACCCGGCTGGACATTTCTGGAACCAGTCAGACCCGGTCTTAGTTGGAATCGGAACCAGTTGGACCCGTTCCCCAAAAGTCAATTTATACTCAACTACTTGTAGATATCATTAGTTGCATCACGTAAAACAGCCATTTCCAATTGGGAATACTCATGAGCTACTGTGTGCAAAGAAACATTCACTTAATTCACTTCATATTTTGCAATAATGTGCAGTGTGCAAGATGTATAGTTTATGGTAGGACCCGGTTGGACCCGTCAGAAAATTTCCAGGAACCGGTCTGGACCCATATGGGTCCAGACTGGTTCTTTGGACCGGGTCCTCGGGTCCACATTTTGCCACCTCTAGTCCTATCAGCAGCGTCTTATCCCGGTGTTGGCGTACTCGGGAAAAGTGAGGCTGTGCAAGCTCAGCATCATTTGTTCCCTTTTTTAAGAAGCGCTCTGCGTGTTACGATTACAGTGACATGTCAAGTTTACGTGGGTCTCTAGCTCAACTTGAATCGCGGCCGTATTGGTGCACAGACGTTCTCTGAATACGTATGGTACCTACTAGAGCACTTCATGGGCCGGATAAATCCGTTATCCACGGATAAATCCGCGGACCGGATAGGATTGGATTCTAAATTTGTTAAAAAAGAACGGATATGGGCGGGCCGGATTTGGGAATTGAAGGTTGAACCCGGATCAAAACGGATCAAAATTTTAACATTCAACATTGAAGTTAAAAATTAACCTAATGTGTTAAGCGGCAGCAGAGGTTTGATTAAAGTAATAGGCATCATTTTTTGACACTCACTTGTCACAAGACTTGTATGGCTGTCTGGTCCCTTAGATTGAATTTGTTAGTCCAGTTTTGGGTGAAACCAGTTATTGGTGAAACGGATTATTACGGATATTTTTTGGAAGTTTGGCTGCAATACGGGCCATGGGTGGGCCGGATTCTGATATTCAAAGAAAGGCGGATAATGGGCGGATCTGGATATGACTTGCCGGATATGGGCCGGGCCGGATCCTAAAAAGCCTATCCGTGAAGTGCTCTAGTACCTACATACGTGCTAGAATCTGAGGCGAGTGTGTTTGGATGTTCACTAAAATCGTCAACGAAATGTGGGAACCAGAAATAAACATCGACACGGCTGATATGTTTGATGACCAATGCGTCTGCAGTTCCTCAAACGAGCTACGAGCGTGGTTTAACGTCAGTCACCACCGTCGTAGTACAATTGTCGGGTACGACCATATGCTTATATCATGCTATCGCATTGGTTGAGAAATGAGAGGTGCGGTTGCAGTCTTTCTATAAATTGTTCGAGGATAAGAAAGCATCAGTGTGTTAAGGAGTTCCCAGTAAACATGCCGACGTCGGCCCGACGTCGGCCGACGTCGGGGTGACGTCGGCAACTCGGCATCGGCATGCCGACGTCGGCCCGACGTCGGTCCAACCTCGGCACGACGTCGGCTGGATGTCGGATATGCCCGCATGTTCCGACGTCCAGCCGAGGCCCAGCCGACGTCGGGCCGACGTCGGACCGAGATCAATTGCTGAGGTCCAGCCGACGTCGGGCCGACGTCGGGGCGACGTCGGACCGACATCGGCCGCTGTTTTGACCGTTAAAATAATATAAAATCCATGTTTCATGCTTCATAAAAGAGCTTCTGTATTCAAAATATCCTCAGGAAACTCAAATCTTCCTCCACGCCGCAACCCCCTGATCCGGACTGGACGGGAAACTTTATCCCATTTGGGATTGCCCGAAAGCCGAGCTCGCCCGTAGCCGGGAGCGGTGAGTACTTGGGGGCTGCTCGGCTCGGCCTATCCTTTGGTCAGGCTCAGCCCCGGCAACTCACCAGGGCCGGGCCCAGTTCATATAGAAAGGCCAGTCGGCAAGTGTCACTTTGCCAAAGTGCCACTTATCAAAGGGACACTTTGGGAAACGTTGGTGCAGGTGTGTAAGAGTGGCTATATGAATCCATTGTGGGGTCGCCCTTTCCAATAAGTGTCACGTAACAGCAATGGGACCAGGGACTCTATATGAACTGGACCCAGGGTGCTCGCCAAGAAGACCAATGTCTCCATCCTATGATCCTTCCGGCTCTGAAATGGTCTTGTCAGACCGAAAGGGCATAAGCCAACAAAACAAACCAAATTCGTTAGCTGGCTGCGTGGTGTAGTGGTTACCGCACTAACGTCGCGTTCGAATGACACGGGGTTCGAATCCCATCGCCGGCTGATGCTTTTGGCGTGTTGTCCCAGTAAACATGCCGACGTCGGCGACTGGGGGGCTCGAATCCCGCCGCCGGTTGATACTTTTGGCGCGTTGTCCCAGTAAACATGCCGACGTCGGCCCCGTCGGTCCAACGGCAAACGATCTCGTCAACCTCGGCAAACGATCTCGGCCCGACGTCGGCTCGACGTCGGCTGGACTTCGGCTGGACGTCGGAACATGCGGGCATATCCGACGTCCAGCCGATGTCGGGCCGAGGTTGGACCGACGTTTGGCCGACGTCGGGCCGAGCCTCGGCCCGACGTCGGGCCGACGTCGTCATGTTTACTGGGTTACCTTCATATGCATTCATAACTGTATAAGGACTCAAAAAGTTGGAATTCGGCGTCAAACAGCTGCAATAGCCGACTTTCGGCTAAAATCTAAGAAGCCCACCCCCTCCGTAGAATATTTTACGATTTTTACACATTTGGCGCATCTGCGACATTTTCTGCACGTTTCGGCGAACTACTTTTTCTTAAATCTTAACTTATATGCAACAGAAACCCCCAAAAGTTACGTCACGTGCTGGAGTAAATTCCTTGCTCTCCGTATTATTTTCAAGACCTTTGTGAAACAGATTGGCGTAGAATAAGTACGATTCTAAGACAATTCGTAAAATATCCGGTGTCGTAAGTTTTATGCAATAGCGCTCAGGTCACCATGTCACTTTGAATGACCCAACCTCAAGTCACTTTTTTGCAACTTTGTCACCGTGCCAGAGCTACATTAGATGTCGGAGGCCTTTGAAAGTCGCAGGATGTTATTAGGTCATTAGTAGCTACAATTTGTATATCTCGGAATTGTGATGTCGGTGACCTAAGGTCAGGTCAATTTCGCGACCTCCCCATTATAAGTCAATGGGGGAAAAACCAACTCCCTGTTTTTACCACTAAAACGGGTCGGAATGGCCCCATATACCATACATGACTTCACATACGATCAACCTTCACTACCTTGAGGTCTGTTTTGCTGTTGGGCAGCTGTAAGGTCATGTGACGTCATCAAAGGTCACCAAAGGTTTTTTGCCAATAACTCCTTACAGGAACAAGATACAGCCGCGCGGATGGTCTCATTGTGTTCAGCTCGTCAAGACGCATCGAATGATATACATGATGACCTCGAGGTCACGTGACCTGAGGTCAACCTTTGACCTTGACCTTTCGAGGTCAACATATATATCATTCGATGCGGATTGACGAGAGGATCACGATGATGCCCTTAGTTTGTTCCTATCTTGACTACTTCGAAAGTTATTCGAGAAAAACCCTCTCCATATCTAGCGCCGCCATTTTGACTTTTTCGACCCCTGTGACGTCATCTTTGACCTGACCTGAAAATGACCTCAGTAAAAATTGTAGACCTTGTCCGTGCGTATCCGATGCCGATTACCGCTTGTCGCTATCTTGCTTCTTTCTCGAGATCTCAGGGGGGGGGGCGGTCATCCGCCCCCCCCGTCGGTACTAAGTTGGCGCAGACCCCCGTCGGTGCGCGGGTTAAAATTTTGACACAAGGTGTGAAATTGATGCAGCCGAAGGTACTGAAAGTTTGGCGTTGATACGTCAAGCGGTTTGGAAGTTATTGCAGAAAAACGGGAGGGAGGCTATAAATAGCCCCCCCCCCCCCCCCAGTGGGGCGCGGGTTAATAAAAACAATATCCATTTAATTGTTTTCTTAAGTTACATTTGTTTGCGCCCACAAATAATTCGTCGCCAAACAGCCAATCAAAACAAATCCTAAAAACGCGAGCTGTCAAATTTACCTAGTAGGTAGGATGGTGCAAGAGAAGCTACCGCCGTAGGTAGTTTTACTAGGTAGGTATTTTGCCGATTCTACCTAGCTAGGTATTTTGGTGCAAGAGGCCTCTTATCATGCATCTTTTCTGCACATGTTGTAAAAATTGTAGACCAAGGTCACTTAAGGTCAGGTCCCCAGGTCACTTCAAGTGACCTCACCTCATACAAAGTTCCAACGTCTTCCATAGCTACATCGAGCGACCGACCTCTTTGAAACTTTCAGCGATCGATAAGGGCAACAATATGTACACAATTTAGATAAATAACTATCTCGGAATTTTGATATCGGTAACCTAAGGTCAGGTCAATTTTGTGACCTCCCCATTATAAGTCAATGGGAGAAAATCGATGCCAAGTTATGCGTTGGCTTGTTGTAAATCGTCGACATTCGACCTGAAAATCGGTGAAATTCGGCTTTCCATGACCTCTTGTGACCTGACCTTTGATTTGACCAAAAAAGTGACCGAATTAATTTCGTCATTATTTTTGAACTTTTTCGAACGCCGCCTTCCCCGTATCGCTACGTGGCCCAGGAGCCGAGTTAGAGGGGGGGGGGTGTTAAACACCCCCCAGCAAGGCGTGGAAATTTAGGACCCCCAGCGGGGCGCGGGTTATGGCGGTAGAGTCAGTGACAGTCAGATGACCGATTTTGAGACCCAGTCATCTACATAACCAAGCGTAATATCAAGCTCGTCGTCTCTAATGCGCCTTGCCCAGCACTCAATTCCTCTTTGTTCACAAGTCTTTTTAAGCCAACAACAGCCAAAGCGCGATTGAAATAAATCAGTGTCTTTTAGTCGATACCTAGCCCGCATGCTGTAAATGTTAAATTGTATTAATGTTGCTAATATACCTACCAGTGAAGGATGGATGATTTTCGGTTGGATGGAACTGCATCAGGGACTTATAAAGCCGTCACACAAGTATGTTAGATTTCCAAATAATTCGCGAGATTGCTTGGTACACTGAAAATAAATTCACACCCGCTCCTGGTGTTTACACCTTTTTAGGAAATGTTTACACCCCACCGTTTTTGAGCACCTGCACCGGTGTAGTTTCAACACCAAGTTTTGGTGTAAGCATACACTGAATCCAGGTGTAACACCAGGTACATACACTGGCGTATGGTGTTAAATCACTGTAAGTACACCAGTTTGTGGTGCTACACCACGTCTTTACACCATAAAAAGGTGCTACACCATTAATTTGCACCTTCTTTACGGGTACAAAACAAATACCTTTACACCAATGTGTGGTGTTAGCAGCCAATTTGGTACACCCCTTCCGGTGTTGTGAAGGAGATACACCGGTGTTTGGTGTAGCTGCATCTCGATGAATTAACCCGCGCCCTGATGGGGGGGGCCATTTTGGCCCCCCCTGTGGTTTTTCTTAAATAGCGAGAAAACGGCGGCGCGCAGCGCCGCCAAATTTTGGGTACCTTACCGGACATCAATTTGACACCTTCACACAAAATTTCAAGTCACAGGTCACCTCAGGTCAGGAGTTATTGAGGTCAAACTGAGGTCATGTTCGAGTAAAAATGAGCAAAAAACATGACATCTTGAAACGCTCACCAATTTTACAGTTAACAAGCAATTTTAAAGTTCTTTATGTGGTTGTGTAGAAAAAAGACGGCGCTACAAAACTGCTATCTCGGATTTTCGAAATTTTTGGATTTTGACCCCCAAAAATCAAAAAAATTGATTTTTTTAGAAAAACTCAAAAAATTTCCAAAAATTTTTCGAATTTCGAAAAAAACGGAATATATGTGATAGTCCCTGCGCTCTTTGATATACATACCAAATTTTAGATCGATACCTCTTTTTTTGGCCAAGTTATAGCGAAAAAATTGTTAAAAATTGATGACGTCAAATTTTTGAACTCAATTTTTAGCAATTCTAGACCTCGTAGCGCAAAACGGAGACCACCATTGAACTCCCCGTGACGAGCTGCATCGAATCGATACCCATTTTATGCAAAAATATCAACTTTGAAAGTTGACCTAATTTGACCTGACCTTGACCTGACCTTGACCTGACCTTGACCAAAACGTGACCTAAGCTGGCCCTAA